CGGCACCAGAAGCATGCCAAGAAACCAGCTTCCGATGCGACCGCTGCCGAGGACAAGACACGTGCAGCCCTATCGGCAGCCACACACGCCCGGATGACCCTCACGCAAAGCATTAGAAGAAGAACTAAACGTAAGTATGGTGCTCCGAGCGGATTTCACGGATCCGCGCTGGGCCCCCCCTGGCGGCGCCTCCAGCGCTGCCCCTGGCGCGCTCCTCGCGGATCCAAAAAGTCCGTGCGGAACGCCAAACGTTGCTGTGTATGCCGTTTGGTTGTCCTCCGACTCACGCAGAGCATGACTAGGGCCCAGGAGTGCCGCCTTCGAGCCCATGCAGCAACAGGACGGTGCCAGGCTGGCGGAGATTGCCACCAAGCGGGAGCAGCGGAGGCAGCGGCCGCCGATGTGGCCAGCCGTTCGCAGTGGCCCAGCTCCCGACCGGGGCCTTTCCTTCGCCATCGCTCGGACGTGCATTCCCCGTGCGTGTATCTGATGTGTGAGTGTTTTTCCCCACATCCAACGTGGGGCTCTTGTTTCCTCTGGGCAACTCGCGCAGGAACCTCACCTCACCTCCCACCCCTCTCCTCTTCACTCACCATCACCATCACCATCACCATCAGCATCATCATCATCATCATCATCATCATCAGAGTCATCATCATCATCATCATCATCCTCATCATCATCATCATCACCATCACCATCATCATCATCATCGTCACCATCATCATCATCATAACCATTCACACTCACACCATTATCACCCTCATCACCAACAGCATCCTCATCATTCGACCAAGCATCACCATTCGCATCCTCATCCTTATCAACATCATCCTCATCATTCGGCGCTCACCATCAGCACCACTCATCATCATCATCAGCATCATCCTCATCGCCACTCGCGCACTCATCACGTCGCCACCACTCATTCCCTAGCTTGAATGTGGAAGGCGTCTCGAACGGGAGCCCCGTGTGTGAGTGAATTGCGGGGACGCCTCAGGCGGGAACCCATCTCCTTATGGGGGCCGCACCTCATCGTTATAATCCGAGCGGGTCGTCGGGATCCTGCAATTGTCGTCGCTCGTGGGCTCCTGAGGCCTGAGTATGGGGGAAGTATCAGGCGGGAGCCTCGTTTGTGAGTGAATCGCGCAGAAGTCTCAGGCGGGAACCCTCTCCCTATATGGGGCCCGCACCTCATCATTTTAATCCGAGCGGGTCATCGGAACCCTGTGACTGTCGCCACTTTTGGGGTGCTGAAGCCTGAATGTCTCAGGCGGGAACCCTCCCCCCATGGGGCCAGCAATGCATTTTCTAATCCGAACGGGTCATCGGCAACCTGTAACTGTTGTCACTTTTGGGCTCCTCAAGCTTGATCATGGAGGAAGTCTCAGGCGGGAGCCTCGTCTGTGAGTGCATTGCGAGGAAGTCTCAGGAGGGAGCCTCCTCCCTACGGGGCCCGCGCCTTACGTTACTGATCCGAGCGGGTCGTCCCAACCGTGGAACTGTTGTCACTGTTGGGTTCCTGAGGGGGTGAATATGGAGGAAGTATCAGTCGGGAGCCTCGTCTTTGAGTGACTTGCGAATGGGGCTTGCACTGCATGTTCGAATCCGAAGCGGGCCATCGGCAACCTGTAACTCTCGTCATTTTTGGGCTCCTCAGGCTTGGGTATGGAGGAAATCTCAGTCGGGATCTTCGTCCGCGAATGGATTTAAAAGAATTCGCAGGCGGGGCGGGAATCCCCTCCCTAACAAACCCGAACCTCACGTTGTAATCCGAACGGGTCATCGGCAACCTGTAACTGTTGTCACTTTTGGGTTCCTCAAGCTCGAGTACGCAGGAAGCCTCTGGCGGGAACCTCGTCTGTGAGTGAATTGCGAGGAAGTCTCGGGCGGGAACCCCCTCCTTATGGGGCCTGCACCACGTCGGCATGGAGGTGCGGTTCACGGCAGTGCAGGAAGAGCTGAAGAAGAAGTTGGGGCTCGCGCAGGAGCAACAGGCCACCATCGTGTCCTTCGAGTTCCACCGCGAGGACGAGCAACGGCACAAGGAGTGCTCGGCAGGCCAGCTCTTTCGCCCCAAGTTCTTATTGCAGGGAATATGGCTGCAGGTGCACGGTTTCAAGGAGTCTCCGATCTACCAGGAGGTCGCCGAAGTGCTGCGACAAGGCGCCGAAGACGCCGACGACGACGGCCAGGCCGAGGCGCGGGCTCGGAGCTTGCTGATGTTCAGGCCCAGCGAGCAGGAGCTCACCTGGCAGAGCCCGGTGCCGCACACTGTGCGCCGCTCGGGGCTCACCTTGACTCACGCGTCCTACCTCACCTCCACGCTGTCGCAGGGCCGGACGCTGCACAAGGGCGTCACCATCGACTGCGCGAGAGACGAGGACGCTGGCCGCAAGGGCATGTCGGACGACCAGTGGTGGTTGCACCTCTACGTCATGCTCTCCCGCGCCACGCGCATGCGGAACATGCTGATCCTGCGGCCGCATTCGCGCGAGTTTCTGGAGCGCGGGCCGCCGGCGTCATTGCGGGAGGCACTCAAGGAGTTCGATGAGAAAGCGAAGACATCCAGGGATGAGGCCGAGCAGCTCGCCGCGGAGCTTGGCTTCGTGCTGCCTTCCCCCTGATCGCCGCGGCGCGCAGCTTGAGGCCCGCGGGGTTGTCCCAACGGTCTGGCCTGCGGGGTTGTCCCGACGGCCTGCCCTCGCGCCCCAGCGGCCCGCGGGGTTGTCCCAAAGGCATGGTCCGCGAGGCTGTCCCAGAGGGGTTTCGCGATCTACCCGTCGGCGAACGCGCGCGCGTTGGCCGAGGCGGCGACGGCGCCGAGGAAAATCGACTTGCTTGCCCCGACCAGGGAGAAAGGATGTGCACATAGAGAAGCGGCAGGAGGATGAGGAGGGGGGCAGGGGTAGAGGGAGGGCGATGATGAGGAGGTGGAGAAGGAGGAGGAGGAGGAGGCGGAGGATAGGTAAAAAGGAGGAGGAAGAGGAGAGACCAGAGCTCAGGGCGAGAGGAGGATGTCCGCCAGAGCGGCGGGGGAAGGGCTAAGGGTAAGCTAAACAGATTCTCATGTGGGGTCTTACGGTCGGAGTAATTTTCGCGAGATGGCCCCAAAAGTTTTTCGATGGCCCTCGCCGAAAAATACACACGTCCGAGCGATGCCAAGCATGAAAGTCGACAGCGGACGCCTACAGCCAGTGAATGCCGAGCCGAGCTCAAGCTCCGCAGCGTTCCAATCGCCTGTTCTATCGGCAGGTTCACCTTTCGTCCAATCACCTCCTCGGATCCAGCCTGCAACAGGCTACTTCCACAAGTGGTCACCGACCTGCAGGACGGTCGGGCGTCCTTGACGTCTCGGCTCTCGCTGCTCACGGCGCAGCTCAGCACCTCGCAGGTGACGATCTCCTCTGCTTTGGCGCACCCTACTGCTGCTACGGCGGGACCCCAGCCAGCGAGAGGCCACACGAATCTGCGGCGCCTCAGCAGCAACCCCGTCCAGGACAGCTGCGTCCTGCCCCACTTCTACCATTCGGTGGCAACTCATGGGAGCCTCCCATGCCGTCTTGTCGGCTCTTGCGAATCGACGCTAATCGACGCTAAATCGACGCTAATCGACGCTAGCCGACGCTAAATCGGCTCCATCTCATCCACTCCCAGAAGCTAATCGACGCTAATCGACGCTAAAGACAGAATTGGGAGGGTATACCAGGCTCCCATGATTTGCTAGCTGCCGAACTACCAGGCCAGAAAGCAACTCCCATGACCAGCTGTGGCTGGGCCGGCTGGGTCACTCACGCCCATGGAGGCCGCGGCGAGGGCAAGGCGAGAAGGAGACGTCTCCTCGCGACCCCGCACGGCACGACACGGCACGGCGACATGCTTGATCGCACTCTCGAAACCTACGCACGGCCAGGGAACGGCACCACACGGGCACGGCATGCGGGCTCGCCACGGCACGGCAACTGCTCGCAGTCTCGACACCCGGGCACGGCACGGCACGGCAGGCTTCCCGCGCTCGACGCCGGGCACGGCACGCCACGGCACCGCACCGCAGCCCGCTCGCACTCTGCAGACCGGGCACCGGCACGGCACGCCACGCCGCGGGACGGAGCACGGCACGGCACGGCACGGCGAAGCGGCACGGCGCGGCGCCAGGCCCGCAGTCTGGCAGCCAGCCACGGCCCGGCAGGGCCCGGCACTGTAGCGCGGCAGCGTGCTCTGATTCTGGATGTCGGGGCGGCCTCTGCCCTTGCCAGAAAAACGAGGCCCCCTACTTCATTCGCCATGTCGGGAACTTCTGGGCTCAGCCCTCGAATTAATGGACTACGGCGCGGCCCGCTTCGGCGTTCTGCTTCGACGTGCCCGACGCTCGTTGCGCCCGTTGAGGGGCTTTCCGCTTCTGCTTCCTGCTGCCAACTCTGACGTTTTAGCTCTGCGGCCACCCCTGCCCGTCAGTCGGCGTTTGCTCCACGTCCCGCTGTCCGCTTCCGTGCCTGCCCACCCCCTCCTCCCCTCGCCGCATCAGGTCCCCCAGCCCTCCGCGTTGTGCTCCCCGTCGTGGTCCGGCCCCCATCCTCCCCCCCCGGTGGCACTCCGTCCGTGCCTGGCTTCGCCCAGATGACAGGAGGCAGACAAGAGGGAGGAGACGGAAGAGGAAGAAGCGGAGAAAGGACTCCCAAACGTTGCGTGTTGCTGCTTCTCTCACTTTGTGTGGGGGGAGGGGGCTCATCCGTCATCGGTCGGTGTTCTCCCGTTTGCCGTCTCCAACTCCTGTATTCCGCTGCCGCCGCGGAGGAGCAGGGAGAGGGAAAGGAAGGAGGGTGAGATAGGATGATCACAACGATGATGGAGAGGAAAACAAGATGGAAGAGGAGGAGGAGGACAAGGAAGAGCATGAGGACGAAGAAGGAACTGAGGATGGAATGGTAAAGATAACCAGGCGTGGAGAAGGATACTGAGGATGAGTAGAAACAACTGAATGCGATGGGAATGAGGAGGAGGAAGAGGACGCGGAGGATAAAGGAATGTAAATGCAAACATGAACCAGATCCTGCAACAACAAATGTATGCAGAAACGCACTGCTGTAACAAAACAACTGCTAAGCACTTAAACATATCTGCATGGAAAACAAAATCACTGAGCCGTTAGCAGGGGGAGCCCGTGCAAAGTGAACCGGGGTCAATGCATCAGCCCACCGGAAGAGAACCCCCCGCATTCGCTCAGATTGCGTCACCAGACCCTTCTCAGGCAGCATCCTGAACAGCTTGTCGAGCCGCTCCCAGCCGTGGCGACAGGGACCCCCGAGAGGCCCAAACGTCGCAAACAAGCCATACATTCTATCGCCCAGGGGTCTCCAGAGGTCTCCGACGTCTGTGGAGGCCCCCAGAGCTGCAGAGGCCTCCAGAGGCCCCCTCCAGAGGCCCAAGAAGGCCTCCACACTCCTCCTCATTGTCCTCCTCCTTCTCCTCCTCCTCCTCATCCTCTTCATCCTCCCTTCCTCCTGCCGACGCACCTCCCCCTCCCTCCTCTATTCCCCCTTCCAGAAAGGGAGCCATCGTCATCTCTGGCTTCACGGCCGCGCTTGGCCTGGACGAGTTGTCCGTGATGAGGGCTGCGCTGAGGTGCCGCACCGCGTTGTCCACCTGGGGCACCATTGTGTGTATCACGCCCACCTCCTACCTCCAAATCCACCTTCTCGTTTTCTTTATCCTCCTCCTCCTCATCTCATCCCTTCTCTCCCCATGTTCCTCCTACTCCGCATGCTCCTTCTCTTCCCCCTCCTCCTCCTCTTCCTCTCTTCCTCCTCCTCTTCCTCCTCCTCCTTCTCCTCCTCCTCCCTTCTCCCTCCTCCTTCTCTTCCGTAACCATGTTGGTTCAAGTTTATGGCTGCCGGAGACACAACACGGATACCGCTTATACGCGTCAACTTGAAGCATTCTGTTGGTCCGCCCCAGAGACAGAGGTCGCGAGTGGTCCGCCCCACGAGCGCCCAGAGTTCAGGAGCACTCGTACCTCACAGTGCGAGGCCGCATTCTTGACAAGGATGGATATATCAAGCGCGGTGCCTGTGGTTTCAAGTGGAAGCTGCGAAGCTGTGGCTCGTGCTTCAAGTGTAACACGGCCGTGGAGCTGCCACTAGCCCGGAGGACTCCATCTGTGAGACGAGCACATATGGGAGAAGCGGCTTCAGAGTGCAGTTGAGGAGGCATGGGGCTGGTCTTCTTGGGAAAGGGTGGCCCAAATCTCGACGCGTACGCAAAGACAAAGGTCGTGGCATCGCCGGTTGGGAATAGAGCAAGCAGGCCGTCGAGAAGTCAGCTGAAAAATTGCTCCAAGCTCTCCAGGCTGCAGCGCCCCACATCGCCTAGACTCCAGCCACCATCAAGCTGGACCCGCCTCCTGTGTGGCCCAAGGCCAAGCCGCCGTTTGAGGCGCACATTCGTGCAGAGGCAGCGGAGAGGAGAGCCAAGGTAGCATTGGAGAAGGCGGCAGAAAGCAAGCGCAAGGCACTTGAGTGGTACAGTGAGCACAGGAAGGCTACTGAGGAGGCGGCCAAACTGCGTGCACCACCAGCGACGTGGTGCAGACGAAGTGCTGTATTGACGACGGTCCGCTTTTCGGAAAACTAAGGGGCAGCGGCCCGCCGTCTGGGGCGCTCTAATCCGAGGAGGAGATGCAATCAGTTGGCAGCAGGTTGGATCTGGTTGGAGGCAGTGGCCCGCGCATCTGGGAGCCTCAGATTTGCAGCACAGGCAGTAGCCCGCTCATCGGGGCACCCAAGCGGTCAGTTGAAGCAGTACTAAGTGCGGAAAGCACTGGTACGATGGATTGCGATATGGAGTGCACTGGTCATATTTCCAGAAGGTGGCCCCTCTCGGAGAAGGCTGCCTTGCCCGAGCTGAACAACTCCAGCTACGCTCACGTTAGAGCGGAGGTCGCCGTCCAGGCCCTCCTGCGACGACGTCGCAGAGCGGGCTGGGGCTCACTCGATTGGGCGCATCGGGCTGCTCCCTCGGACGCGCGCTGCCTCTTGGGGCCCAGCCGCTTACGCATGGCGTCTGCCTCCGCGCGGAGATGCCCAAAGCTGCTGGCCTTTTCGCCGAAGAACTCCCTGACCTTGCCTTGGAGCTCCGCCGCGAAGTTCGCTTTGAGATCGTCCAGCGCCTTCTGCTGGCGCGCGGCGACAGGCCCTCCGTCGAGAAGCCTGCGCCAGCCTCGAAGGCGAAGTCTTCGCCATCCAAGATGCTCGTGAGATTGAACGCTGCTGGAGGATTTGCGGGGACAGGCTTGTGAACGCCTCCATTGTCAGGACCTCCGCACCCCGAAGACGGGCGGGTTCATTCATGTAGCTCGGGTCGTTGACATTCCACTTCCTCCAACTAGCCAAACTAGGAAAGGTCACCGTGTACGCCATACTTCGTCCTTCCAAACCAACTAGCAATTTCCGCTTCAATGGGGAGCTGCACCACAAGGCCGACAACCAACAGCCCGCAAGTTCGCATCCAGCGCCTGCCAATTCTCTTCGTTGAAGCTGTCCCCATCTGCTGGCATGAAGACTTCCGCGATGTCAATCTTCAGCTTCGCCAGCTCGACCGGCTCGACGTCCCAGACAGCACCTGCGCTGCTCGGCTGTCGTCAAGCTCCCGCAGTTTTCTCTTTTGGCTTTGCATGTCGTTTCCTGAGCTCTCGTACCTCATATTGGAACTCGGCAATTGATTTACTGTTGCGTCCCTTTGGCCGCTTTGTCCGCTGCATTTTCAGCAAGTTGGTCTGCTTCGTTTGGTCCACCGCCCGCTGCTGCTGCTGCATCTGCTTCACCTGTTGCCCGGCTTCTGAGGTAGGAGAACTTGCTGGACCTGGTCTGGATTTGCTCCGCCAATTTACCAGAAAGCCCTTGACACCACCAAACTCAAAAAGAATTGTCCCCTGCCTGCCCACATCAGGATCGATGCCCGAGACCAAAATCACCCCTGAACCATATCGTGCTTTACTTGGCCGGCGACGCTGCTGCAATTCATAGACTTCATATTGCAGTGGCAGTGCATTCTGCTTTGCCGTGCTGAAGACCTTCTCAACCAACTCCTTGGCCGACAAGGTTTCCTCTAACTTCCCCGTAGCCGCAACCACGAATACTTCCTTGTGTCCCTGCACCTGGCCAAAACTTGTATTTAGACAGCAGCTTCCGCGCAAGTACACGCACTGGCCCCACTAAACATATCGAGTCCGACCAGCTCTTGAGATACAGTGGGAAGCTTCCTTTTGGTCCGCTCGACAATCTCGCAAATCTGCGGGAGTAGAGCCAGCACAAACGTCAACCTCCATGATACCACCATCATGTGCGTCGCCCGTGCGCGTTTGAGCCACAAGCTACGCATCGAAAGAAAATATCCGAGCGAGAGCCTTTTTGTTCGAAGTTCCTTCGAGTCCCTCCGACCTGAGGCCCAGGGGGGGGGGCTATTTTTTTGGAGGAGACCGATGGGCCTTGCCGCTGATCAAGATTTCGGAGAAAACAATAACTATCGTGAACCCGGCATCCCCGACACCGCGCGTTCGACGCCCAGTTCCAAAGAGGCTCCCCAAAATGATTCGCACAAGATTCGCACAACCAATCCAGCTGAAACCTCTGCTGCACCATCTCGGGGCCTTGGCCCCGCCAGGCCAGGTTTCCCTTCAGAAGTCATCTCTCCTACAGTGGAGGCTCAGCGCGCTCAGTCCCAGAAATGGATGCGTCGCGTTGATTTTTGCTGCACGCCTGCGGGAACCTCGGTTCGAAATCCAGCGACGTGGAGTTCGAACCTTGAGCCAAAATGGCTACGGACGGACCTCCTCCTCCTCCTCCTCCTCATCCTCAATTCCTTGTCCTTATCAAGAACTTCTCCCTGTCGCACCCCGAGGCAAGTTTTTACGGCGGTCCAGGTGTTTCGCCTGAGATGTCCTCACCATTTATGACCCTGAAGCTTAAACATTGACATCTGCTTCACAAATGGAGGGTGGGTGGTTTTCGAAATATGGCTCTCGCCTTAGCGCCGCGCAAACTCGCTTTAAACATTTGCCAGAGCCTGACGGATTGAGGGCGACCCGTTTTCAAAATGTGGCTCTCGCCTTAGCGCCGTGCACATTTGTTTAAAACATGCCAGAGCTTCACGGATTAAGAGCGGCTCCTGTTTAAAATGTGGCCCAACCCTTAGCGCCGCGTACATTCGTTTCCAAAATTTGCAAGAGCTTCACGGATTAAGGGCGGTTCCTTTTCAAAATGTGGCTCTCGCCTCAGCGCCGCGCACATTCGTTTTCTTGTAATTCGCAAGAGTTTCACTGATTCCCATGAACAGCGTACCAGAAATGGTGTTTTGGCAAGACTCGGGATTATGGGGGTGCAGCAGGTACGTTGGTTCGCGGTGTTGAAATTCAAAGAATGGCGTTCTGGCACGATGCTGGATCATTCAGACGCACAGTCAGGTTGATCCGTGGCGCTGGAATCCCGAGAACGATGTTTTGGCATGCGTCAGGGTCTTCAAACGGTTGTCTTCCAACGAGGCAGTTCCCTCAGTGGAAATGACCCCTTTGTAGGGGCCTATGAAGAGAGAGCTTGGAGGAAGGGCTTATTCCAACATCGTTGGTAACTCTTGGGTTGACACTAGTCTTCCTCCTCCTCCTCCTCCTCCTCCTCCACATCCTCCTCCACTGGGGTAGGGCTGATGGCTTTGGAGTCTGGGCCAGACGCAATCATGTTCCTCCTCTCCCCCACTGGAACAGCCCAAGACCCCCAGAACAGCGCAGACAGAGCACCCCTGGAGCACCCCAGAATCCCCAGGGACATCCTCAATGGCTACATGTGGAGGAGGGGGAAGAGGAGGAGGAGGAGGAGGAGGAGGAGGACGAGGAGGAGAAGGAGGAGGAGGAGGAGGAGGAGGCCTCCCCCTGAAACCTGCCCACTGAACAACAAGGAGGAGGGGTGACGGGCAGCGCGGCGGAGCGCAGAGGACCCCGGGGAAGACGGGCACAGAACGCCCAGGACATCCCCCCGGGGACGGCCCGACGGGCCTCCGCCGTCCTCCGCGCCCCTCCCCGTCGCCCGGGACATCCTCCGAGGCGGTGTCTGCCCAGCCGCGGCCCGAGGCCCGTTCCCCCCGGGCAAAACAGGGCTATAGGATGGGGATGAATCGCTCTCAGAGCGTTCCGGAGCGCTCTCAGAGCGTTCCGGGGAACGCTCCGGAGCGGCCGCGGCGCCCAACACATCCTCCAAACCCGCCGATTCTCAGAGATTTCGGGTTATCCCGATCCGATTTTGTCCCGAGCTTCGCGTCGTTTTGCTGGGGGTAGCTCCTCCGCCCCGCGCGGATGTACGGTGGAGCTTGCTTGGAGAGGGCACGCGAGAGGACACGAGACCCTTCCGAGCGCCACACTGCCGCAGGAGTGTAAGAAGGCATGGGTGGCGAGGCACAGGACAGAAGTGCACCACTGATCTGGCAGTGTCGACCTACTCATCGGGGCCGACTGTACCAGAACAGCGCCCATGCATCGTACCATGTTTGGCATAACCTTCGACCCCGTTCCAACGCGGCACGGTGCACAAAAGTTACCCGCGGATGATACCGAACATTCATGCCGCCGAAGATCCAAAATAGAGGACGGAAAAACGGCATAAACATAAAAGCTCGGAAGTCCGCGCAGATTTCTTGGACCGGCGCTGGGCGCCGCCAGAGCGGCCCAGCGCAGATCCAAGAAATCCGCGCGGAGCTCCGAAAAATCATGCGGCTCTGAACCCAAAAATGTTGTCAGCTCTTGGAGAGCAACTTTTTACTTCCGCCGCCTTCCGCCGGCCTTCCGCCGGCTTCCGCCAGCGGAAGCGGCTTCGCTCTGCTTCCGCCGACCTTCCGCCGCCCCTCCGCCGCCTTCGCGGCGGAAGAGGTCGCAACTCCTTCGACGCTCGAAGGCAAGGCCATGTCCGGAACGCCCCCTGTTGTTTTTCCTTCGATGGAAGCCGCGCGGCCCCCCCCGCCACATCCCGAGCGCGCGCAGGCCGCCACCCCTCCGCTCCCCCGCCGACCCCCCCCCCACCCGAGGAGGTGGGCGGCAGATATGGCCGGGGAAGCGATCAGAAAGCCACTCCTGGGAGGCCCTCGTGAGCACGACGACTGAGAGCCACCAGGCCCGAGAGTGGGGCCGGATCGGCCCGGAGCAGGCCCCAGGTGTGAAGCTGGAGCAGTGTGGACTCGGCGCGAAGTGAGACACTACCGGGCAGTTTTTCATACATAGGATGCTTAAACATATATGATGTGTAATACTTGATTCATGTATGAATGAATGTATCCATGAACTCATCCTTGTTTTTAATACGAAACCCTGCATGTTTCATACATGATCCGCACGCGGAGCATGTATGAAAAACGGCACTGCACTGTGCTGGAGCAGGCCGGCTGTCGACCACGGACCTGCCAGCAGCGCTGCACCCCAAGAAGAGCTCGGGGGTCCTCTGACCCGGGTCAATTCAGACCCGGGTCAGTCAGGCCTTGCAGAATCCTGCAAAATCCTGCAGGATCCTGCACCCAAACCCGGGTCAATGCGAAGGATCCTGCCAGATCCTGCAGGATCCTGCACCCAAACCCGGCTCAATGCGACCCTGGCCCTGCAGGATCCTGCAAGTTCGGGGCGCTCTGGCTGACCCCCGTTTGCGTTGACCCCCGTCTCAAGGCTCCCCAAGAGCACTCCTCCTCCCACCGCCGGGCGCCGGCCGAGCTCCACCGCCCGCCCCATGGCCGGGCCCGCGGCGTGGGCCCGCGCGGGGCCCCCGCGGCGTCTCCGCGCCCTCCCCGCTCGGCCGGGGATGGGGCAGGCGCCGAACCTGGGGCCGAGGATGGGCCTGAGGAGGAGGAGGAGGAGGAGGAGGAGGAGGAGGAGGAGGAGCCTCCTCCTCCTCCTCCTCCTCCTCCTCCTCCTCCTCCTCCCTCCTCCTCCTCTCCTCCTCCTCCTCCGGCGTCGTCCCCCCCCCCCGGAGGCGACGATGGGCCTAAGTCGGGCATGGCCCTCTGCAGGAGGAGCGCCGCTCCCAGAGCTGCATTTCCCAGAAGGAGGGAGGGGCCTCCGGGGTAGCCTGCGCGCATGGGGCCTCTGTGGGTCCCCCCCCCCGGCGCAGTCCTCGAACGCCTCCAGCCAGCCGGAGCCACCCCAGGGAGCCTCCTCCTCCTCCTCCTCCTCCTCCTCCGCCTCCTCCCCTCTCTCCTCCTCCTCCTCTCCGCCCTCCGCCTCCGCCTCCGCCTCCGCCTCTCCTCCTCCTCCTCCTCCTCCTCCTCCTCCTCCTCCTCCTCCTCCTCCCTCCTCCTCCTCCTCCTCCTCCTCCCCCTCCCCTCCCCCCCCCCCTCCCCCTCCCCCTCCCCCTCCCCCTCCCCCTCCCCCTCCCCCTCCCCCCTCTCCCCCTCTCCCCTCCCCCCTCCCCCTCCCCCTCCCCCTCCCCTCCCCCTCCCCCTCCTCCTCCTCCTCCTCCTCCTCCTCCTCCTCCTCCTCCTCCTCCTCCTCCTAGGAGGACCAGGAAGCCCTGAGGTCCCAGAGGCGCGATCTTTTCGCGAGCAGGGCGCTTTCGCCTGCGGGGGCCATCGCAGGCCGATCCGTCGCGAGAGAACACCGCAGATAGATGAATAGAAAGATCAAGTCGAAAGGCTCTCTGGTGGTGAATCCCGCGTTGTTGCATTTTTCCGCGACGTCGGATAGCCTCAATCCTCGATCTTTCGACCAGGATCCCCACCAGCCTGCACCCCAGACCCGCTCTGAGAATGCTGGGAACAGGTTTTCGGTAGATGTGCACAGCCGCGGCGACGATCAGGGCCCCCCGAAGGTCAGAAAATAAGAATCAGGGACGAGGACGAAGAAGAGGAAACGTGCGATGCAAACGTGGCGCTGTTGGCCATGACGGCTTCCCGTTTAGTAGTGGCTGCATGCAGCCGTGTCGTGTTGTATCAGCCATCAACCGTTTCATTCTCCGCATGCGTAACAGGTTTCGTTGGATGTGCCTCGATAGCCATACTTGGTAAACGCTGATGCACATTCCAATGCTTGGGAGCCCCACAACTGTGAGGTGACGGACCGTGCGATGACATCGAGAACCCGTAAGACCTCCTCACCGCACGGTCCGTCACCGCACCGTTTCTGGGACCTCGGAGGCCTCAGTCGCCCGAAGCACCCTCGGAGAGCGACCCGCGACCCGCAGCCGTGCGGCCACGCCGCACGCCCACGGACTCACCCCGCGGGGTGTGGCCACCGCACCGCTCGGGGGCCCCCGAAGCGATGCCGAGGGTGCACAGCCACTTGTGGGCCCCGAGGATGGGCGGGAGGGAGCGGCCTGCAGGGTGGCGGCCGGGCAGCCCATGAACCCTGCCCGAGGCGACGACGACGACGACGACGACGACGACGACGACGACGACGACGGCGACGACGACGACGACGACGACGACGACGGCGGTGACGACGACGACGACGACGACGACGACGACGACGACGACGACGACGACGACGACGACGACGACGACGACGACGACGGTGACGACGACGACGACGACGACGACGACGACGACGACGACGACAACGACGACGACGACAGCGACGACGACGACGACGACGGCGACGGCGACGACGACGACGACGGCGGCGGCGGCGGCGGCGGCAGCGGCGCTGGCGGCGGCGGCGGCGACGACGGTGACCCCCGCCCGAGCCCACGGAGAATCTCTCCGAGGACTTGTTGCCGCGCAGCCCCAGCTCAGCCAGCGCCTGGGGCACGTCCCGGACCAGGATGCGCCCCTTGTCCTCTGGCGCCAGCGGAGGGCAGGCTAACCAAAAATCGAATCGGAAAACCTAAGCAGCCATCGAAACACATCGAATCGGCAGACATCGTCAGGCAGATCGGAAAGCAGCGGAATCGATGGCTGGCGGCCCTAGCCGAGGCATGCGCGAGGAAATCCAGACCTGAGTCGAAAGCCAGAGCCGAATCGAACCGAAATCGGGACCCTCGGAACCGGATCGACTTCGAGGGTCGAGGCATGGATGCCCGCCGTTGGCACGCCGCAGGCTTCTGGAGGCCTCGGGTTAGGAACGGAGGCCCCCGAAAACCTTCAAGGGGATGGGCGGGGGGGCCTCCTGAGGACCTCGGCAGGCCGTCGTCGGAGATAACCCGGAGATCTCTCGGATGCGCTCGGGCACCAGGGTGCTTTCCAGCAGCTGCGCCTCGCCGAGAGCCCGCCGGGGCTCGCCAGAGTAGTCCCGAGCGGCCCCCTCTGGCCCGGCCTCCCGGCCAGAGATCCCCAGAGTTGCCTTCTCAGCGCATGTGGCGTTCGAGCAGATGCGGCTGGCGAGTGGACCTGCGGACGGGAGCATTCGGCTGCCGAGCGGCCGTTCGGCGGACGAGTGGGCCCCGGCGCCAGCAAGCTCAGCAGGAAGCCGCGGGGGGCGGGGGGGGCTTTCTTGCAGTGCACCGCTGACACCCGAGCTCTCAGGGCAGAGGAGGCAGAAAAGTTGGTCGGAGGCAGAGAGGAGGAGGAGGAGGAGGAGGAGGAGGAGGAGGAGGAGGAGGAGGAGGAGGAGAGGAGAGGAGGAGAGGAGGATGAGGAGGAGGAGGAGGAGGAGGAGGAGGAGGAGGAGAGGAGGAGGGAGGAGGAGGAGTGGGAGGAGGAGGAGGAGGAGGAGGAGGAGGAGAGGAGGAGGGGGAGGAGGAGGCGGAGGAGGAGAGAGGAGGAGGAGGAGGAGGAGGAGGAGGAGGAGGGGAGGAGGAGGAGGAGGAGGAGAGAGGAGAGGAGGAGGATCCCCTGGGCAAGGACGAAGGGCCCGCTCAGCCTCCGCCCGTCGAGAGTCGCAGCAGGGAAGGGGCCGAGGAGGCGGAGCGGGCGGAGATTGGAGCACCTCGGGAGCGACAGCGGGCGCGGACAGATGCCCGTCTCTCCATCTCTGTCCCGTCCTGCCCTCCCTTCCTGCCTCCTCCCTCCTCCCCCTCCTGCTCCCTCCCTTCTCCCTCCTGCCTCCTCCTCCTCCTCCTCCTCCTCTTCCTCCTCCTCCTCCTCCTCCTCCTCCTTCCCCTCCCTCCTCCTCCTCCTCCTCCTCCTCCTCCTCCTCCTCCTCCTCCTCCTCCTCCTCCTCCTCCCCTTCCTCCTCCTCCTCCTCCTCCTCCTCCTCCTCCGCCTCTCTTTCCTCTTCCCTCCGTCCTTCCTCATCCTCCTCCTCCTTCTCCTCCTCCTGCCCTACTCCGTCCTCATCCCTCCTCCTTCGCAAATCCTAAGTCACGTTATTGACGGCGCACTGCTGACGATACTATGAACTACGAGGGATGCCTCTTCTGAGGCCAGAGCCTCAGCAGTGAACGAAGAGACCAGATCGTGGATACAAGTCGCAGCCAGTATCGCTTGCACAGCTAGCTTGCTAGAAGTCCCTGATCACGTCCTCCCTCCCCTCCCTCCTCCCTCTCTAGAGGTACGAAACATGCATAAGCATAAACACAAACTTTCGAAGGTCGGCGCTGTTTCCTTGGATCTAAGAGATCCTCGCGAAGCTCCGCAAGCTTATGTTTATGCAACTGTCTGGTCTTCGACTCTCAGGCTACGCGCAGGTCACTCCGCAGAGTGGCAGGGATCGGGAAGCCCCCAGAGGAGGGGTGCGGTCGGAGACGAAGAGGGCGGGCGACCCGCAGCGCGGAGCCCGAGGGGGTGTGCCAACAGGAGGGGCGAGCGCGCGCGAACGCGGCAGGGAGCACGAGGTGGGAAGCGAGGGTCCTCCTCGGGCCTCGGCTGCGCCCTCGGTGCACGAGGCACGACTGGGGGAGCAGACGCAGCATCGACGGCATTGGGCCACGGCAGGTGCTGCTCGCCCCCCCTTCGGAGGCGCGCGTCCGAGCCGAGCACGGAGCGCAGAAGCATCTCTTTTTTTTTGTTAGGGCGTCTCGGTAATCGAGGATCTGTGTATCTTTCAAATGCCACCAAACATGGCAGGATATACCACCAAGCCTGGGTCTAAGGAAGAACCACTGCGGAGGACCACCAAATGGTACTAGGAGATACCCAACATGCAAGAGAAGGTAAAACGGAGCGCAGAGGCATCTTGTGGCAGATCGCTGCCCGGGCTGGCGTGGCCAGAGAAGCGCCCGCCCCCGAGCACGGGCTCCACGAGTCCGCAGCGCGGGCGCTCGCCGCCCCCCGGAGCACGGACGCGCCCAGCGCGTCGGCACGTCCGCGCGGCGCCGAGGCCACGCCACCGTGGGGGGGGAAGCCTCCCGCGTGCCGCTGCAGGTCCTTCGGGCAATCGCCGAAGGGGCAACACGCTGGCGGGCGCCCAGCCCAGCGGCGGCGCGCCGGCGATGCTCCGTCTCACCCCCCTCCTCCTCCTCCTCCTCCTCCTCCTCCTCCTCCTCCTCCTCCTCCTCCTCGTCCTCCTCCTCCTCCTCCTCCTCCTCCTCCTCCTCCTCCTACTCCTCCTCCTCTTCCTCCCGGGCGACGAGGGAAGAGACCCACGGGAGGGCCTGGAAAACGTGGAGCCCCTTGCCAGGCCAAAGCGGGCCTGGTCCCAAAAGCTTTGACCGCACGGAGCGTGCGCTCACGGCCGTGCCCACTGGCGCCGCAGCCGGGGCCACAAGCCGCACCCGCCCCGCGCAGCCAGCTCGCCTCGTAGAGCTTGCAGACCTCCGTAATGGCGTCTCGCTCTTCGGCGGGCATCTCCTGCAGGTGGCGCCACACCCGTCATCACCACCACCACCACCACAATCGTCATCGCTGTCGTCATCGCTGTCGTCATCGCTGTCGTCATCGCTGTCGTCAATTTGCCCATGACGAAAGACAGGCGCATGACGAGGCGGAAGAGGGAGCGGCGAGAGCACCGACGAAGACAGTGTGAAACGCACATGAACACATGAGCGCAACACACGATAGCGCGGATGACAGAGTAAGACCGCAGTCAGCTTATCTTACCTTGAAAGAATTGGTCGAAGCAGAAATCAACAGCCACAGGTAGAGCTGAAGCCAGCAGGTCAGCTGGCACGCGGGCGGCAGCTGAAGCTAAAGCGAAGGATGGAGGTAAAGATGAAAACTGATGCGTTGGCACACGGAATCGGAATGTAGAGTTCACTCCAAAGCGAAAGCTAAGGATCAACGCTAAAGCGGAGTGCTTAGGCCGAATATGCTAGAAGCAAGAGCTTGCGCGATGACTAGAGCTGAAGCCAACCATCAATGTCCAGCAACGGCTAAAAATGAATCGAGATAAAAATGGAAAGGCTCCGCCTACAATGAAAACACATACATCTATCTCTGCGAAGGTAACATGCGCTGGGCGCAGCTACACAACCAGGTGATCTCATTAGCTGAGCCACGCCAATGTAAGAGGTGCCACGCAACACAACGCTGAGCTGCGATGCGCTGAGACCACCTGCAAAGGTCTGCAACGGCGCGCCACGATGCGCAACGCTACTCTACGTTGCTCTAGCCTCTGTTAAGTTAGCATGAGGTAAGTAAAGCTGAAACTGATGAAACTAATGTTGGGAAAAGTGTTAAGCTGAACGTAGATCAGGCAGCCCCAGAATCGAATCGATAAGCCGGATCGTGTCGACCAGAGCATCGAATCGGCAGAAATCGGCAGAAATCGGCTGCCAAATCGAAATCGGCAAGAGTCGGCAGGGCCGAGTCGGATCGAGTCGGAAACCGGCGGACGCCGGATCGGACTCGAAATCGGCAGGCACAGTCTGCGCGTCCTCTGGTGGGACTCGTCACCGAAATCCTCGGACGTCGATCGTCGTCGCAATCGTCGTCGCAATCGTCGTCGTGGGTCGTCAAGGTCGCCCGACGCCGTCGGAGCTTGGCCGGCCTGGGGATCCGCACTGCAAACCCCTCCCGGGGGGGTTCGCCAAACCCCCCCCGGGGGGTTCGGGTTTCGCCAACCCCCCCCCCGGGGGGGTTTTGGGGTCCCGCCAACCCACCCCCCCAGGGAAGTTTAGGGTCCGCCAACCTCCCCCCAGGGGGGATTGGGATCCGCCAAACCCCTCCCCCAGGGGTGGGTTGGGGAAACCCCCCCCCCCCCTCTCGGGGAGGGTTCCACACGGGGGAGCTTCGCACAGCCAGATCCGTCTGGCGAACCCCCCTTCCCCCGGGAGAGGGAGGGGAGCGAGGGAGGGAGAGGGAAAGCGACGACGACGACGACGACGACGACGACGACGACGACGACGACAACGGAGCGAAGCCGAATCGAAAGAAATCGGCAGCAGTCGGCTGCCAAATCGAAATCGGCAAGAATCGGATCGGGCGAACTGAAAATCGGAATCGTGAATCGGAATGTTCGCATCGAGTCGGATCGAGTCGGAACCCTGGGAAGACGAATCGGATCGGCCTGGAGGAGTCGGAAAGCGCCCTGGTAGATACGCAACAACAGTCAACTCTGCATTCCCAGATTGGAAAGGAAGTCGTTCACAGGCGCTGTAAGTCGCAAAATCCAAGCGCCCCCTCGACTGTAGCAGCCACCTCCCCTTGAACATCCCCCCCCTCGTCCTCCAGAACCGTCGCCCCCCACCCCCCCCTTCCTTCCGAAGAGAAAATCCCCTCCCTGACCCCCCCCCCCTCGAAAGTCGTGGGGGGTACCTCCGCCCCCCATCTGCGCCGCGGCAGACGACGGAAATGACGCCGACGGCGACGACGACGACGACAACGACGACGACGACGACGACGAGGACGACGACGACAACAACAGCGACGGCGACGACAGACGACGATGGACGACGAAAGGCAACGACGACGACGACGACAACGACTACAACGACGACAGCGACCATCACCACGACGCTGACGAGGACGACGAAGACGACGACGAATACGACGAAGATGACGATAACGACTGTGACGACGACTGTGACGACGACGACGACGACGACGACGACGACGACGACGACGACGACGGCGGCGGCGCCGGTGACGACGACGGCGACGACGACGACAACGGACGACGGCGGCGGCGACGACAGACGACGACAACGAACACGACGACGACGACGAGGAGGACGACGAACGACGGATGACGATGACAAACACCACGCACGACGCAAAACGACGACAACGAGGAAGAACGCGACGACGATGCTGCCGAGGGTGACGACGAGGCCAACAACATAGATGACGACGACGACGACAACGACGACGACGACGACGACGACGACGACGACGACGACGACGACGGCGACGACGACGACGGCGACAACGACGGCGACGACGACGGCGACGACGACGGCGCCAGGCGGGGCCCCAACGGGCGTGTCGGGCGGGCGGGACCCTGACGGGTGGGTTGGGCGGGCGGGACCCCGAGGGGTGGGCTGGGCAGGCGGGACATAGAGCGGGCTGGCGGGCGGCAGTGGCTTTGAGGCGGGCGGGTCGGTCGGGCTGGCGGCTTAAGGCGGGCGGGCGGTACAATGAATGCAAGCTTCGCTCACGCCACCGACGACGACGACGACGACGACGACGACGGGAGGGACACTGAAGTCGGAGGGCGGGCGGATATCAAGTGTAACCTTCGCTCGTTTGAATGTCGTCATCAGTGTCAGCGTCGTCTTCGCCAGCGTCGTCGTCGTCATCCGAATCAGCGTCGTCGTCGTCGTCAGCGTCATCGTCGTGTTCGTCGTCATCGTGTCCAACAACTTGTTCGTCGTCGTGTTCGTCGTCGTGGTCATCGCCATCGTCGTCGTCGTCGTTGTCGTCGTCGCCGAAATCATCGTCGTTTGCCCAGGTCGTCGTCGTTTGCCCACGCGCCCGGGGGGGAGGGTAACCCCCCCGACCTTTGGGAGGGAGCAAATGGGGGGGACATTCGACCCCCCCCCACCCCTACTATTTGAGGGAGACGGCCGGCTAGGACCCCCCTTCCGGTACCCTCAGGCGCCCACAGAAGACGTTGTCTAATATTGAGCTGATGCTGGCGCTGTGACTATGCAAAGCTGAGCTGACTACTCTGGCGTTCACCTCTGGTCCCTCTAACCCTTTCCAACCCTGCACAATGCTCCCTCAAATAATGGAAATACAATAAAGGGTCTCGATCAGAAAGCTTGCCTCGAGTTCGGTCACGTGTTCGTCCTGATCGTCCTCCTCCTACGTATCATCGTGCCCCTACTGCCCGCGCATTTGCGCTCCTCCGCCGCGTCGGTAGGTACGACGAGCGAGTGCACTACAAGAGCGCCCGCTCCTCGAAGGCTTCCCGCTGCTGCTGGCGCAACTGCTTCGCCTTGTACTCCCTGCGCTTCTTCCTCACCTGGGATGGCGCCCACTGCACACCGACGCCGGCCCTGGCCAGGCCCGTGCTGGGCCCGGAGTCGGTGTGTACAGCCATCGTGCTGCAGGCCTTGGAAAAATTAGCGAACACGCATGCCACATTCATCGGTCAATGCCTTTCCCTCCCCGCAATGTTCCAAGCTGGCGGCAGGTCTGATGAGTTGCACTTCGACCGCAGTCTCCCCCGCACGTGCCAACTTTGAGTCGGCGGTGGATAATCCCTTTAGTAAACCTCCCTTTAGTGAAAACGGCCTAGGGCCGAAACCGACGGACCTGGACCCGCAAGAATACTGGCCGCGACGCCTTCTCGCGAACCGAGAACGGCCAATTCCTGAATCGACGTGTCAGGGGTAGGAGGTCTATCAATCTCCGATTGAGTTTGGGGGAGCGGGGGAGTGTCCACTGATTGCTTTTCACCCATACCGCCCATACCGTACCGCTGGGCAGGCTGGACCTTTGTGGGCCCCGGAAACGGCAGGGCCATTTTTTCACCGTTTCCAAAAAAAAATGTCCCTTGAAAATGGAAACGGCAAAAAAACGGCGACCGGACACGGCAAAAGAACGGCTCCAGGATTGGAACCGGAGCCGGAACCGGTCAAAAAACGGCGACGGAACCGGTAAAAAAACGGCGTCGGAACCAGCAAAAAAACGACAGAACGGAACCGGTAAAGAAACGGCCCTGTCGTTTCCAGGGCCCGCTAAGGGCTGAACAAAGAGCGAAGGGGCTCTTCCGGCCACAGCGAGCCTCGCCCACGACCAGGCTCCCCGACCCGGAGGGGCGAAGGAACGGCCCGACAAGCAGAGCCCGCCCCGAGCCCGAAGGTGTCCTTACCTCAGCGCCTTGACCCGTCGGTCGGAAGACGTGGGTATGGGACGCATAGGGACATACTAATGCATGATGACGATTAATAAAAAATGGGAGAGAACGATAAACAAATTAGTTGTCTGCTATTTATGCACAGTTTTCTGACTGGAGGAGAACGATTAAACAAAAAAAAAATGGTGTTCCAGCCCGCGGCCGGTTTTTTCTAATCGTCATCCCGGGCGCCGCCGCGTAAACACGACCCCCAGTCATTTGTTAATCGTCATCCTCCATTAATGCTGTATGTCCTCCTTGGAGGCGCGCGTCCGACCCGAACATATCGTGTACCCATCTTGTAGTATATCGCCCGAGCGGTGTGGCCAGAAAGCGCCCGCCACGACGCACATACTATGAGATTTCTCGGTGCGCGCGTCGCCGCTGGATGGGCGACGCACATATAGTATACATAGCTATGTTGGGGTGACGCCGACGGGTAGATTCGTGAAGCAGGAATGACTTCGAGGTGGGTGGGGCCTCCACCCGCCCCCTGAAGAGGAGGGACGAGGAAAACAGGCGCTCGACTCTTGAAGCACGAAGGCGCCTAGCGTAGGCTAGGACTTGGGCATCCCGAACCGACCCCTTTCAGCGAACGCCGTGCACTGTGCGGCTGGCTCCTGTCCTGTCGGCGTGGGCGGTGGCGCCTGACGCCCCGCGTGGAGGCGCTCAACCTCGAGTGGCCTCTGCTGTCGGAGCCGCAGGCTGTCGGCCCCCCCTCTGGCGTGGCCGCCGCGCCGAGGCGGCGTGAACTTGCCGTACTGGAAATACCCGTCGGTAGCCCCAAGACCGTCCAAGAAGCCTCCAAGACGTCCCAGGCCCCCTCCAAGAGACCCCCAGGAAGCCCCAAGAGGCCCCCACGAGGCTTCCAAGCGGCCTCTAAGAGCTTCCCAAGAGGCCCACAAACTACCCTCAAGAGGCCCCCAAGAGCGCTCGTCGTCGTCGTCGTCGTCGTCGTCGCCATTCAGGGTCGGCGGCACCGGCCGTAAGGCCTTCGCAATACCCGTCGGGCGGCAGAAGCGGGCAGAATCATGAAGCAGGCAGGCGCTGGAAGCAGATCGGGCTTCCGCCCGCCCCCTGAAGAGGGAGGGAAGAAAAAACAGCACTCGATGCCTGAAGTAGGAGGGCGACTGAAGTAGATGGGGCTCTGGATTCCCAGAAATACATCACTTCACCGACCGGCGTGTAAGCTCTCGGAGGTCCGCGCGGATCTCTTGGGTCGGTGCTAGGATCGCCCCCTGTCTGGCGCGTGGAGCGCACCAGGGGCGGCGCAGGAGGCGCCACCAGGGGCGCAGAGCGCCGATCCAGGAAATCCGTGCAGACCTCCGAAAATCTGTGTTTACGCAAACTGTCTTCTCGAGTGAAATAATTGGCGCCCGCCAGCCACCAGCTGCTTCATGACCTCGCCGTACAGCTTCAAGCGGGCGTCTCTGCTGTCTGCAGGGCCGGGAGATTATGTTGCTTCCGCCGCTGCTCATCCTCATCCGCTTCCGCCTCCTCCTTGTCTCGCCGGCCCCACCTTCCCTCGCCCTCCTCCTCATGCCCCTCCCCTACCGCCCCCTCTACCTTCTCCTCATCCTCATCCTCATCCTCCTCATCCTCATCGTCCTCCTCCTACTCCTCTTCATCCTGATCCTCCTCAGCATCATCATCATCATCATCATCATCATCATCATCATCATCATCATCATCATCATCATCATCATCATCATCATCATCATCATCATCATCATCATCATAATCATCGTCATCATCATCATCATCATCCTCACCACATCATCATCATCATCATCATCATCATCATCATCAGCTTCATCATCATCATCATCATCATCATCATCATCATCATCATCAATCATCATCATCATCATCATCCCATCAACACCACGATCAGTATCATCATCATCATCATCATCATCATCATCATCATCATCATCATCATCATCATCATGAGCATCATGAGCATCATCATCATCATCATCATCATCATCATCATCATCATTTGTGTCATCAGCATCATCAGCATCATTAGCATCATCATCAGCATCATCGTCCTCATCCTCATCCTCATCATCAGCAGCAGCAGCATCACTATGAAAAGCAGCAACACTATCATCATCAGCATCATCATCAGCAGCATCATCGTCATCATCACCATCATCGTCAGCATCGTCATTATCATCAGTACCATCATCATCATCATCACCATCGCCATCGCCATCAGCATCAGCACTATCATCAGCCGCAGCAACGACAACAGCATCATCATCAGCATCAGCATCATCATCACCATCACCAGTACCATCCACATCAGCATCATCGTCAGCCCAATCATCATCGCCAGCATCATCATCATCGTCATCAACAGCATCATCCTTATCATCCTCATCAGCATCATCATCAGCGTCGTCGTCATCATCGTCAGCCCCATCGTCAGCCCCACCATCAGCACCAGCATCATCATCATCGTCAACAACAACATCATCAGCATTACCAACATCATCAGCATCATCATGAACAGCGTCGTAATCGTCATCCTCATCATCATCCTCGGAATCAGCATCATCAACATCAGCAGCATCAGCATTGTCAGCATCAGCATCATGGTCATCATCAGCATCACCGCCACCACCACCATCATCATCAGCAACAGCATCACCATCATCAGCATCAGTACCATCAGTTTCAGTATCAGCATCAGCATCAGCATCGTCATCATCATCATCATCATCATCATCATCATCGTCATCATCATGAGCATCATCCTCCTCATCATCAGCAGCATCGTCAGCAGCAGCATCATCCTCCTCATCATCAGCGTCGCCAGCACCATCAGCAGAATCATCATCAGCATCAGCAGCATCAGCAGCAGCATCATCATCATCGTCATCATCAGCATCATCATCATCAGCATCAGCATCAGCATCATCATCATCATCATCATCAGCATCAGCATCAGCATCAGCATCAGCATCAGCATCATCATCATCATCATCATCATCATCATCATCATCATCATCATCATCATCATCATCATCATCATCATCATCATCATCATCATCATCATCATAGTTCTCCACCTCCTCCACCTCTTCGTGCTCCTCCTCCTCCTCCTCCTCCTTCTCCTCCTCCTCCTCCAACCCCTCGTTCTTTCACCCTCCTCCTTCACCTCCTCCTCGGGCCCTCCTCCTCCCGTCACGCCGAAACGACAGTCGCCAGTCTCCGGCACTCCCGCCCGCACGCCCAGCTGCCCGCAGAACCTGCGCCTGGCTGCCCAGCTCCCCTTTGCAGAGCGCCCCCCCCCTCGCCTCGCCTCGCAGGCTCCTGGGCGGCGGCCAGCAACCCGAGGCCGGGCGCTGCCCCTGCGGCCCCCCCCCCCCTCGGCTCCACGAGCCAGCATCATTCTCAAAAAGCCAGCGCGGAGGAGCCCTTGCGGCAAGGCGAGGGGACGACGGACGAGGACGGCGAGAACGACGAGGGCAAGAAGAGGCAAGGGACGACGAGCAACGGGACGGCGACCCGCGCGGCCCCGCCCCGGGCTCGGTCCGGGGGTGCCCCTGGCGGCCTGGGGGTCGAACACGGGGGGGGGAACGCCAGAACAAGGCCCCCCAGACGCAGTCGACGAGGCCTCGCCGACGGCGATGCCCCTGCAGACTCCATGCACGTCTTCTGTGCAGAGCGGCGGCTGGCAACGACGTGCACGACCAGCACGGATGTCGCATTCGCTGTTCAACAGCGGCTTATCACAGTGGAGCCAAACAGAGCAGAGGGCAGCAACAAAAATCAGACACCGGCGAAGAACTAGCAATTCAACCAGGCATACCCCATTACCCTGCTGGGCGTAGTGTGATACAAGTATTGGAATGTCTGTCCCTCATCACCACCACTCACCATCCTCATCATCATCCCAACTCGTGCCTCACCCTCTTCATCCTCCGAGTCCTCATCATCATCATCAGCAGCAGCATCAGCATGAGCATCAGCATTATCATCATCATCATCATCATCATCATCATCATCATCATCAGCATCATCATCATTACATCATCAGCAGCAGCAGCATCATCATCTTATCATCATCGTCATCAGCAACTTCATCATATCAACAGCAACAACATCAACAGCAACATCATCAGCATCAGCATCAGCAGCATCATCAACATCATCATCATCAATATCATCAGCATCATCATCATCATTGCATCAATGATCAGAATCAGCATCATCATCAGCAGCATCAGCATCATCATCCACAGCATCATAATCAGCATCACCATCATCATCATTACATCCGCATCATCAGCATCATCACCAGCATCAGCATCGTCACCATCAGCAGCAGCAGAACATCATCATCAGCAGCATCAGCAGCATCACCAGCATCATCAGAAGCAGTAGCATCATCAGCATGATGACCAGCATCATGATCACCATCATCATCAGCAGCAACAGCTGCATCAGCATCAGCATCATCATCAGAACCATCATCAGCATCATCAGCATGATAATCATCATCACAAGCAGCATCATCATCACCATCACCATCAACGTCATCATCGTCATCAACAACTTCATCGTTATCAACAACAACAACAACAGCATCATCATCAGCATCAGCATCAGCATCAGCAGCATCATCATCACCATCATCATCAGCATCATCAGCATCATTACATCAATCCGCATCATCATTATCACCAGCAGCATCAGCATCATCATCCACAGCATCATAATCAGCATTACCAGCATCAGCATCATCCTCAGCATCATCAGCATCATCATCACCAGCATCATCAACATCATCATCAGCACCATCAGAACATCATCATCAGCCGCATAAACAGCATCACCAGCATCATAATCAACAGCAGCACAATCAGCATGATGATCAGCATCATGATCACCACCATCAGCAGCAACAGCTGCATCAGCATCAGCATCAGCATCAGTAGCATCATCAGCATCATCATCATACTCAGCATCATCACAAGCATCAGCATCAGCATCAGCATCAGCATCAGCATCAGCATCAGCATCAGTATCATCATCAGCAGCATCATAAGCCTCATCATCGTCATCCGCATCAGCATCGTCATCACCATCATCACCATCATCAGCAGCAGCAGCATCATCATGCTCATCATCAGCATCATCATCATCAGCATCAGCATCAGCATCGTCACCGTCAGTATCGTCACCACCATCAGCATCAGCATCATCAGCAGCATGGTCATCATCATCATGTTCAGCCTCACCATCATCAGCATCGTCGTCATCATCAGAAGCAGCAACAGCATCACCATTGTCACCAGCAGCATCATCATCATCAGCAGCATCGTCATCATCATCATCATCATCATCATCATCATCATCATCATCATCATCATCATCATCATCATCCACGCCGCCGTCATCGTCGACAGCATCAGCGTCATCCTTATCATCTCTCGTGCTCTTCCTACTGTTACTCTTCATCATCCTTCGCCTTCGTCCCTCTACACACCTCTCCTCACCCATCTCTTCTGAACCCTGGTCCCGCCTCCCTCTGTCCTTTCTTCTCCCTCCATCCTCGCCTTCCGCCTCGCCCTCGCCATACTCCTTCCCCTCCTCCTCCTCCCCCTCCTCCTCCTCCCCCTCCTGCTCCTCCTGCTCCTCCTGCTCCTCCTCCAACTCCTCCATCCCCTCATCCTGCTTCCTTTTCCTCCTCCTCCTCCATCCCTTCCTCCTCCTCCCCCTCCTCCTCCATCCCCTCTTCCTCGTCCCCCTCCTCGTCCTCGCCGTCCTCCTCCTCCATCCCCTCCTCCTCCATCCCCTCCTCCTCCATCCCCACATCCTCCATCCCCTCCTGCTCCTCCTCCTCCTCCTCCTCCTCCTCCTCCTCCTCCTCCTCCTCCTCCTCCTCCTCCTCCTCTTCCTCCATCCCCTCTCTCCTCATACATCTCTTCTTACCCCTGGCTCCGCATCCTCCGTCCTTTCTCCTCCCTCCCTCCTCGCCTTCTTCCTCGCCCTCGCCCTCCTCTTCCTCCTCCAACTCCTCAATCCCCTCCTCCTGCCAACCTTTGTCCCCCCATAAATCCCAACAGCCTACTCGCAGGAGGAGCAGTCGACACATCGGCGCCCCTTTGGCAGACTGGCGCCGAGGATGTTAAGATTGAGCGCGTGAGAGGCGAGTCCGAGCGGCGACGGCAACAGCAGGCCGTGCAGGGTAGCGAATGCCTCGGAGGGGCATGGAGAGGAGAGGAGAGGAGGAGGAGGGATCCCAACTGGCCTTCTCCGACGGATGCCAACATCCCTCCCTCCCTCCCTCCCTGACCCCAGCGCCTATCTGATCTTGGTCCTCGTCGTCGCTGGACTCGTCGTCCGCCTCCTCGTGATCCCCCACCTCTCGGGGCCCGAGAGGGGCGGCTGGGAAACGGGGTTCGTCCTGTTCCTGCTCATCCCCCTTGGCAGCACTCCCCAGCCACATCGTCCTCCTCCTCTTTTTACGCTCTCACGTATGATTCTGATCAGTTGTCCCCAAATGTTGCTTGCACTTACGTGTTCTTACTTCTCCTCTAAGGAACTGGGCTGGTCTGGCAGTCTGGCAGTTATGCTGTCGCCGTTGCCGCCACATCGCCGCCTCGTCGCCGCCCGTCGTTTGGGCCGGTGTGGCGGTCTGGCGGCTATGTTGTCGCCGTCGCCGCCCCGTCGCCGCCTCGTCGCGGCTTCCCATACTTGCACTACATACATCGCACCGCATCGATTCTCCTTTCCTAAACAAGAATAGACTCTACCCCCCCCCCCCCCCGAATTAACGATACACCTTTTCGTATTGCAATTTACTTATGATTATGCCCCATCGTCCATCCTAAATATGGACTCAAACTATCCCAGCCAAACCGGTATCACTCTCTCTGGCCATCCTCCGCAAAAAACTATTATGCGCGCATACTCGTTTACCACAAATCATAAGCTTTCAAGACTCCCTAGGAAAAATTAAACGAAGTGCACACGCGCGCGTCGTCGCGCGCACATGCCGAAATCCTTCAAAAACCTTCGGTTCCGGAAGGATTTCAAAATCGAGTTTCACAGAACCATGCAAAAAAACACGTGGCTTCGCAGCACTGGTTTTCTAAAACGCCTTCCGCGCGCGCTCTTGCAAAAATATATTAGAAAAAACATCAACAAATGCTACCAAACGGGTTTCGCGTCCACGCATGTCGAAATCATTCGAACGCCCTTGCGCGCGTGCCGTCGCAAGAAGCCTCTGCAAAAAAATTGACGAAGTGCAGACGCGCGCGTCGTCGCGCGCGCATGCCGAAATCCTTCAAAAACATTCGGTTTCGGAAGGATTGCAAAATGGAGTGTCCAAAAAACATACAAAAACACAAGGTTTCGCAACACGGATTTTCAACACAAGCGTGCGCGGGCGCTCTTGCGTCGTCGTCGTCGTCGCCGTCCTCCCTCCTCCCTCGTCGTCGTCGTCGCCGTGATCGTCCTCTGTCTTGCCTCGTCGTCGTCGTCGTCGCCGCCGTCGTCGTCGTCGTCGCCGTCGTCGTCGTCGATTCGTCTTCGTCGTCGTCGTCACCGTCGTCGTCATCGTCGTCGGCATCGTCGTCGTCGTCGGCGTCGGCGTCGGCGTCGGCGTCGGCGTCAGCGTCGTCGTCGTCGCCGGCGTCGTCGTCATCGTCGTCGTCGTCGGCGTCGGCGACGTCGTCGTCGGTGTCGTCGTCGTCGTGTCGTCGTCGTCGTCGTCGAAGTCGTCGGAGTCGTCGTCGGTGTCGTCGTAGCCGTCGTCGGCGTCGTCGTCGTTGTCGCTGTCGTTGTCGGCGTCGGTTACAACTGCCATTTGTTACCTACCGTCAGGACCTTAGGAGGTCTTGCGACCAAGTTGCGGGCGGGAGGGTGGGATGTTTGCACGAGCAGTGGAGAAGACAGCTTCAAAACAGTCAAAGTAAATTGCACCACGTAGATCGTGCAACATATATTCTCTTGTCTAAAATGAGAATAGAATCCACCACCCACCCATGGCCCGACTTATCGGTCACCCCTGGGGATGTGCACACTACATGCGATTTTGCCCCATCGTCCATCCTAAATATGAACTCGCACCATCCCAGCCCAGCCGGCATCGCCCCCCTCATCCTCTGCAACAGATATTATGCGCGCGCACTCGTTTATCAAAAACCATAAGCTGTCCAAAACCAAAAGAAAAGTAAAAAACACAGAACGAAGAGCACGCGCGCGCCTCCTCGCGCGCGCATGCCGGAATCTTCCAAAAAGTTTCGTTTTCGCCAAGATTGCCAAATCGAGTTGAGAGAGAAAAAAAAAAAAAAAAAAAAAAAAAAAAAAAAAAAAAAAAAAAAAAAAAAAAAAAAAAAAAAAAAGGCTTGCAACACTGATTTTCACAAAAAAATGCGCGCGCGCTCTTGAGAATTTTTCGGTGAACCTTAGGTTGGTCAGCATGTTCATAAAAATGTTACCAAACGAGCGTCGCGCGCGCGCATCTCGAAATCGTTCGAACGCCTTCGCGCGCGTGCTGCCGCAATATCACAAGAAATGAAACGAAGTGCACACGCCCGCGTCGTCGCGCGCATGCCAAAATCCGTCAAAAATCTGCGGTTTCCTAGCGATTGCAACTGGGTGTCCCGAAACCATACAACAACGCACGGTTTCGCAACATCAGTTTCAAAAAAAGCTCGCGCGCGCGCTCTTGCGAACTCGAAGAAGCCATCGGTATTTCAAAACTGTCACTGGTTTTTGCCAAGCGGGCCTGTCGCGCCGCATGCCGACAGGATTCGAACGCCCTTGCGCGCGCGCTGGGGGGACACGATCCGTGTCAAATAAAACCATGCGGCCACCCTCACGCGTCGGCCGCGCGCGCACGCGTGTCGAACTCCGACGCGAAGACGCCGTCATCGTCGTCGGCGTGATCAGCATCCGCGCCGTCACTGGTCGCGCCTTCGTCGCTATCAGCATCGTCGCCAGCATCGCTACTATCATCATCGCATCTACCATTGTCGACGTTGCCATGATACCACGCCCGCCCAAGTCGCCGACTTGCACTGAAGTGCCCGCTGGGATGCGCCCAGCGGCCAGCGCCGCCGCGGCCGCGTCGGTCGCGCCAAATTAGCCGGGTGCTGCGCGCACGAGCACGCGCGGGCTAGCGCGGCCGCAGAGATGCACCGGCCAACACCACGCACTCATCGCAATCGCCTCCGCGTGGGCTTTGCTAACCAAGTTGCGCGTGGGTGGGTTGGATGGTCGCGCGAGCAGTGGAGTCGACGACTTCACTTTCGGCAAGGTGAATTCTTTCTTCAAGGATAAAAAATGCGACCCCCCCCCCCCCACGGGACCATCGTCGCCCCCCAATTCGCACTGCAGTTTACATGCGGTTCTGCCCCATCGCACATCCTAAATCTGAATTCATACCGTACCAGGCGAGCTGGCACCACCACCACCCCCCCGCCATCCTCTGCAACACAAATATGCGCGCACACTCGCTTATCAAAAACCATCAGTTCGCGCGCGCGTGCCGAAATCCTTCAATAACTCTCGTTTTGGCAAAGATATCAACATCGCACACAAAACTTCGGACTCTTACGAAACCATAGGTTTTTCATCATGCTCATAAAAGTGCTACCAAACGGGCCCCGCGCGCGCACGTCGAAATCGTTCGAAGGCCCTTGCGCGCGCGCAGTCGCGAGAACCCTTTGCAATTTGAGACGACGCGCGCGCGCGTCGTCGCGCGCGCGCCGAAATCTGCGAAAACCGCCGGCGGCGACAGGACGTCGAAATCGAGTGCCCAAATGTCATTTAGAAAAACCAAGGTTTCGCAACGTGAATTTTCAAAGAAGCGCGCGCTCGAGCTCTTGCGCATTCTTCAGAAGACCAGAGGTTGTACAACATGTTCACAGAATTTCGCCCTTAGGGTCTCTGGCGCCGCATGCCGAAATCATTCGCGCGCCCTCGCGGGCGCGCAGGGGGGCGCGATCCGCGTCAAATGGCACCGCGCGGCCGCGATCGAGCGTCGGCCGCGCGCGCAACTCTCTCAGAAGCCGCCATCGCCGACGCGAGGGCGCCGCCATCGTCGTCGGCGCGATCAACATCGGCGCACGCACTGGCTTCGCCGTCGACATCGTCACCAGCATCGCCGCCGCGGCCGCGTCGGCCGCCCCGAACTAGCTGGCCGCTGCGCGCGGGCGCTCGGGCCGGCGCGGCCGCAGAGATGCACCGGCCAACGCCGCGCACTCATCGCAATCGCCTCCGCGCGGGCTTCGCAAACCAAGTTGCGGGTGGGCGGGGCGTTTGCATGGGCATGGGAGGCGTCCACTCGCTTGTAAAAATGAATTGCACCACATAGCTTTTTCTTTTCACGGAAGACAATCGACTACACCACCCTCCCGATGCCGGACTTATCGCCACCCCTTGGGATGCGCATTTTGCATCTGATTCCGCCCCATCGCCCATCCTAGATATGAATCCGCATCGCCCCAGCCCAGCCAGCATCGACCACCCCCGCCATCCTCTGCAAAAAACACCATGCGCGCGCAGTCGCTTATCAAAGGTCAACAGTTGTCAACAAATCTCTTACAACAAAAAAACACACAACAACAAAAAAAGTGCGCGGGCGCGCGCGCCGTCGCACGCGCATGCCGAAATCCTGCGAACATCTTCGGGCTTCGCAAGGACATCGAACGCCCAAACAAACATGTAAAACCCAAGGGTTTCGAAACGCGGAAGAATAAGAATAACAAGCAAACAGCAGCAACAACAACAAAAAGCACGACCGTGCGAATTCGTATGGAATCCTTTGTTTGTCTGAAAAATACTACGGAATTCTACCAGGCGGGCTTCGCGAGCGCCCATGTCGACGTCGCTCGGACGCCCCTGCTCGCGCGCCGTAGCGAGAATCCTCGGCAAAACGCCAGCCGAATTGCACGCGCACGTCGTCGCGCGCGCGCCGAAATCCGTCAAAAACTGCCGGCGGCGCAAGAACGTCAGAACCGAGTTCCAAACAAAAAACAGCAGAAAAGAAAATCCACGGTTTCGCGGCGTCAGTTTTCCGAAAAAAAGCGCGCTGGCGCTCTTGCGAAATCTTGAGAATACCATTGGCTGTTCAACGTTCCCAAGGAATTCCGCCAAACGGGCCTCTGGCACCGCATGCAGAAATCAGTCGCTCGCCCTTGCGCGCACGCCGGGGGGTCACGACCCGCGTCGAACAATGCGCGGTCACTCTCGCGCGGCGGCCGCAAGCGCGCGCGTCGAGCTCTTTAGAAGTCTTCCATCGCCGACGCGAGGACGCCGTCATCGTCGCCAGCGCGATCAACATCGGCGCCCGCACTGGCCGCGCCGTCGTCGTCGTCAACATCGCCACCAGCATCGCCACTATCATCATCGCGC